GGCCTTTATTTGGTAGGGGCTGAACATGGGGTACTCTTGGCGCTACCTCGAAAATGGCGATTTTTTTCGCCTCCTATCTCCGTGCAATGCACGGAGGTTCTTCCCTCTCGTTTAGCGTTTTCCGTTTTCCTGGGGATGGATTGTCCCGAAACAACCCCGGCCCTTGCTTGTTGCTGGCTGTTTCCTGTTCCCACGGACCCAATTCTGACACGGTAACCCTGGTTGCTATTTTAAAACAGGACATGGTGTTGGTTCCCGAGAGCGAGGGCCGGCAGTTGACGGGCTGACGCCAGCCCCAAGAGGGCTGGGGTTCGTGTCAAAATCATGCGAGGCCACAGCGACGCCCGAGCCCTGACGTCGCGTGAAGCTGACAGTAGACGTGTAAGCTGTCCCAAAGTCCAACCAACACCACGCAACACCAATGTCTTGCGTCCATGTGGTTGTCAGCTCGGGGGTGGCCAGAGTATTGGGAACTACCGCAGCCTGTAGCAACGCAGCCTGCGAATTTCTGCACAGCACACAAGTCCAGAGCTCTGCTGAACCGCCCTTCATGTCATGATATTGCACCATTGTGCGCGACTCGCGGGGACCGAGGAGTCGACCCCGGATGACCGGTTCGGACTGTGAAAGTGCCCGTGTCGCTGTGCCCGTCCCTCGCTGAGACAGTGCTGCCCGAGGTTCGTACATGTATATACAAGACGCGCCCGGTTTGGTCTAATTTGGCGATGCCGTAGTTGACGGTGGCCACCTGCCAGCCTCTGTTGCGGCTTGCCGATATTTCTATCGGCCATGGTGACAAAAGCATGAGAAAGCTCGTGGGCCAATTGGAATCCAGAGAAAGGAAGGGTTACAATGCCCACCAATCATCTATCCGTTTATTGGCTTTCCGTCACACCAAAGGCCTGCGCCGCCTCTCTGCCTTGCCGCATTCGTCACCCCACGCGGAACGCCCGAATGCGAAATACGATTGATCCGCGGGTTGGGTGTGATTCGCTGGATTTGGTCTCAGCCACTGAGCTGAAGGACGTCTAGCTGTCGGTCGCGACCGCTGGCCGGCTGACGTAAACCAGTGAGCAGTTGAGCATAAATACGCCTAGCCATGTCCTGCTGCCGTCTAGCGCGATCTCTTGGGCTTCAAGCGGCCGAAGGCTTGAGATCGGAAGCCGGAAACTCAACGATACTGACCCCTATAACAAACAATGGCGGACCTCGGGGACGACAGCAGGCTTCGCTACTCTGACGAGCCGCCAGAGGACCTCACCTCCATCCAAGACACGGCGCCTCTCCTAGAAATCGAGGTGGACGACACGGTCGTGGGCGCCTCAGATGCCGAGGACGACGATGAAAACGACAGGGGCCTCCCCGGGGCCACCAAGGGACGGGCGCACGCACGCCCGTGGCGGCGGCACCGCTGGTACCAAGTGCGGTCGCCGCGCGCCGTGGTGGCCACGGTGGCGCTCATGCTGTTCGTCATGGTGCTCGGCGTCGTGGTCCTGCTGATCCCGCTGGCACGCCTGATCGAGGACGACCTGTGCCGCCGGCACTACGGAACCTCGGCGCCGGTCCCCGAGGAGAAGTGCAAGGTCGACGAGGTGCAGATGCGCCTGGCCTGGCTCGGGGGCTGGGCCGGCGTCGTGAATGCGATAACCGGTAAGGGGGTGGTGTGTTTCCGAGGTTTGCTTCTTGTCCGGGGGGTAGATGCTGACGGGCCTTGGCAGAGCTGGTTGTTTCGTTTCCATGGGGTTTGCTTGCGGACCGGTTCGTGTCACCTTTCTCACTCCGTCATGCCTCAGGTTTGTCCAATGATCTGAGCAAGACTAACTCTGTGCCGTCAACCAGCTTTGGACGCAAGCCGATCCTGTGGGCATCGTTTGCCGGCATCCTCATGTCCATCTGCTGGAGCTGCTTCGTCATCAGCCGGCCGGACCTGATGCCCGTCGAGCTCACCCTATTAGGGACTCTGTTTGCCGTGTTTGGCGGAGGTCCCGCAACTGCTGTGACGGTCATCCACGCCATCATCGCTGACGTGGCGACGGACAAGTCAGTTCTTCCCTCGAACTGTGAAGTCACACACCGTGAGAGTGCTGACCACCCCGAAACCGCCGGCAGAGCTTCGGCCTTCATGTGGACGTCCATAGGCGCCATCGGCGGCGTGGTCATCGGGCCCGCCCTGGCCGCGCACATGATGGAGTCTGCCTCCTCCCCGTGGGTGCCTGTCCGCGCGGCCTGCACGGCCCTGGTTCCGATCCTTGTTGCCCTTGTGATCCTCCCAGAAACAAGGCCCGCCGGGGGCACGGCCGAAGCGGGCACTTCGAGCGACACTATTATGAAGGAGGGCTTTTGGAAGATGCTTCGCGCCCAGCTCTCCGAATCCTTGTCGAGCCTGCGCTCCTCGGTCCACATGCTGCGCAGGGCGTCCATCCTCTGCGTCATGCCGTCCTTCTTCGTGACGCAGCCCGTGACGACGGTCCAGGGCGCCACGCTGGGACTGACGTTCAGCAAGAAATTCGGTTGGAAGATGGCCCAACTTGGCTATTTCTTCAGTGCCCGGGGTCTGCTAACAATCCTCGTCCTGGCCCTGCTCCCCCTGCTGATCAAGTCCCGCAGCAAGGACGGCGGTGGCGGCGGCAGCGGCGGCGGCGTCGGCGTCGGCCGGGACCTCCACCTCGCGCGCGCCTCCATGCTCTTCATGGCGCTCGCCAACCTGCTCACGGGCCTCGGGCTCGAGGCCGTCCCGCTGCTGGCGGCGGGCCAGCTGGCGCTCACGCTCTCGGTCGGGTCCGGCAGCCTGTCGCGGTCGCTGCTGGCGGGGCTGGCGGGCGGGCCCGACCAGACGGCGCGCCTGTACGCGCTCGCGGGCATGGTCGAGACGGTCGGGTCGCTGGTCGCGGGGCCGACGCTACCGTGGGCGTTTGCCGTGGGCGTGCGCGCCGGCGGGGCCTGGATGGGCATCCCGTTCTGGCTCGTGGCCGTGCTCTGCGCCCTGGCCCTCGCGGCGCTGCTGTGTGTGCGCCGAGACGAGCCCGGCGGGGGTTGTGGTGCCGGCGATCAGGAGCGCGCTGAAGAAGGGGTGGCGGGTAGGGGGAGCGACGCTGAGGAGTCCGAGGTGCGCCCGTAGACATTTTGACTTGTGGAATCACATATGACTTTAGCAACCATCTCAGACTCGAGCATGGGGCAGCTTCCGCCGCGTCGGCCGGCTGGCCTTGTGTGGCATCCTCCGGGGGATTTCGTCGTTGACGAAAATGTCAGCCTCGCGTAGCACCGCTGCCCGGTCCGGCAATCACAGGCGGCGGACGTAATGGAACCCAATGGCAGGCGGGCTAGAGGAAGTTCACTATCTTCTCCATGTCTCCTGCCTATGTAGCCTGCGACTGTGACACAAGGGCCGGCGTGATGCGGAAACCAGCATGGGTGGACATCCAACGTCCTCTGCTGTGGTACAGCCCGGTTGGTTCTCTCCGTGTTTTGTGCCTGTACAAAGCCACGGCAAGATCTGGGGACGGATTCACCCGGCAACTAACTCTGTGTTGCGGGTATGAACTCGGTTCTACATATCATTTAGGTAGGTACCACCTAGATACTTAGGGCATGGACTGCCGAGGTCCAGGCGCGCTGGCATGGCACGGTTGCTCTTTTATTCGCGCCTCTGGCAATCGAAAAAAGGGGAAAGGAATACCTACCTAGGAAGCGGGAGAGGAAGGCGTGGTGAGGTCAAAGGTGAAGGCGGCGATGAAAAGTCCGAGGTAAGAAGGAAGACAGGAGGGACGAGAAGAGGGAAGGAAGGAGGGGGGAAATGGAGAACTGGCCCTGCCCACCGCTGATTCCATGGAACGTCAGGCTAACTGTTTTGATCGCAAGAATCACCATCCGACAGGCAGCCCATCGTTTACGCATCTTAGCCTTCAACTTTCATCCTTCACAGTATCGTAACCAAGCCGTTTCTTTATTGGCATCACGGGAGACAAGACTAACTCCACCAGCACAGCCGCTCGCTCTTCGCGCCGCAGCACAAATGTCGGGATACTACGGTTTAGCAAGCACCTCTTCCTCAACAAACCAAACTTCCAAAGACCAAGAAGCCCTTACAGCCTCGCAGCAAGGGGTAGCAATCACCATGGGCTGTGGTTTTCTCCTGTTAGTCTCCCCCGTCCGTCGGGGGCCAAATAGGCCACGCCGCCATGGGCCAATGACGCAAGCTGACGCTGGATAACCGGCGCGGTTTCGCGGGCGCTGCAGCTTCATCCTCTGTTGGATCGCGGTCGGTATATCCAACGAGATCAGCTACCGCCGACAACGAGCCGCCTTGGCCGCCGTGGCAGACCCGGAACAGCCCGGACCGCGGGCGGGATCGGAGCGGCTTGCGAGGAGGCTACGCAATGTCGTCGAGGTTGTGCAAGACAGGCCCAGCGACGCGGGGTCGGGTGGGAGCGACGAGCCCAAGTGGTAAGCTAGATGCTAGGCACGTTGGCGTATTTTCCTACTCGATAACTGACGGGATTCCTGGGTCGGCTGCAGCGCCATCTGTCTCAGCAACCTGTATGTGGAGAGCAGCTCGGCCTCCCCAGACCTGTCGGCCCCTCCGCCGCCAGCCATCGGCTCGACAACGACGGCGCCCGCTCAGCCATTCGGCACGGACGGGGCCGGAGGAGCCGCCGCCGCACCCCCAAGGCCGACATGGGCGCGTCTGGCGTGCAGAAGAGTCAGGAGCATGGCGCAAGCGTGCATCCAGGCCGCGAGGACGCGCGTGTGCGGGCTGCCGCCGCCACCGCCGCCGCCTCCCCCTGTGCCCCTGCTGCCGCTGCCGTCGCCGCCTTTGCCACCCCTTCCCAGCGCGCGCGAGCCGATGAGGCTGCTAACGTGCAGGCACGTGTTCCACTGGGCGTGCCTGCGGGGCTGGTGCGAGGGCCTGCTTGGCCGCCAGCAGCAAGAGCAAAACCAGCAGAATCAGGGGCAGTCAAGCCAGGACCGGCGCAAGAGGTGTCCCATGTGCCGCACCGTCTACCTCGAGGAGGTGGAGACGCCGCAGGAACAGCCGGGCGGGCAGGCGCCGGTGCTGCCCGAGTTGCCGATGCTGTCGGCGCTGCTGCTGACGCTGGGTACGGACGCGAACGCGGGCGCGGACACGGGCGAGGCGTCGGCGGCGTCGGCGTCGCTGCCGGAACTGGTTGCGCCCCAGCCAAGTCCGGAGGAGCAGCAGGCGTCTGGCAGTGGCGGCGATGCTTCCCAAAGTGGCACCGAGGCGCAGGATACTCCTGAGGGCACGCCTGTCGAGGTTGGTATTGGTGGTACTGCTCCCTCGCAGAATGCCGTCGAGGCACAGAGTCTTTCGGGAGCGCCTACTGGCGGGGTTACTGTTGGTGACCCATCTTCCCACAACGCCGCGCAGTCACAGGGCCCTTGGGGCGCGTCTATCGGTGATGGCAGGGGTCGTGCTGCTTCCTTGGACAACGTCACACAGGCACAGCAGCGCGGCACAGATCAGACCGAACTGAAGAAACAGCGCGCGCGGAGCAGCTGACGGGCACGAGACTCGGACGAGGGACGAATTAGACGGACACGTCTTCTTCACGGGGTCCATGTCGTCGATTTAGTGGGAAGCCATGCACAGGTTTCGGGCCTTTCTTTGGTTTCATTGGAGCTGTGGGGGTCCTTGCCAAGCCCTCAGCGCCGGCCGATCAGCCCCACTGGCTCCACTGGCCCCTGCAGGGGAAGTCGAATTGATCAATCACATAATGGTGCATGCGCGACCACGGCGGGTGCTCGTCGTCGGGATGGCGCCGCTGATGGCGTGCAGTGCGCAGCGTTGATTTGATTGGGTCAAGTCTGCTTGAGTCAGGTGGCGTGCAGGAGTGCAGTGTTGCGCTGGGCAAGGGGAGCCAAACAGAGCCCAGCGCTTTTTCGCTCACCTCTCCTTTTTCCGATGATACGTGCACCGTTCCTGGCGACCGAGTCCACCTCGCGCCTAAAATTAGTACGCCCACTTGCACACAACGCTGTGGTTGTTAGTAGAAGATAGGCTTGATAATAAACAGCGTTGGCAGCAGGGCCGGGTCCTACTGGTGCCGGCGGGAAACACGCTGACATTGAGGGCGTCACAGGACAGCGACAGACATGCGCCAATAGAGGCAGATTTAAAAAGGGAGCGCTGAGGATTCGCTGCGGCGAGGTCGATGACGGCAAGCGAGATCATGGAATCCCAACCCGCAGCCATCACACAGAGAGAGGTCCAGCCCAGACAGACAGACCACCTGCTCTGTACGGCTCGCTCCGCCGCTCTTTTTCCACCCGCACAGACCCACGAGCCTTTCGCTACCACCCAGGTATTGTCCCAGCCCGTCCAGGAGGCCAAAGTCGGACCCGTCCTTGGTCTATCCACTGCCCAAGGTACATAAAGCCCCACCAAAGTATGTATCTCTCACATAACACACGGTCAATATCCGTCTCGGGTCTGGTGTCTTGCCCAAGGACGGGCCCACCAAAAGTGGGAAAAGACACCATGGCGAGCCACGCCGCCAGCCTCTCGTAATGGACGGGGATAGTCTAGGCGAAAAGAAAGGAACGAAAAGATAAAAGTAGGAACAAGAAGTAAAACGAGACCCGCCTCCCTCACCGCCGTCATTGCTGCCCAGCGCTGCGCTGTCCTATTCTTCCTTTTGTTTCCCATCCGGACTGGGCCTCGTGCTTCAATTTCCATCCCTGTCTCGCTGCCCCCTTGGCCTGTCTCAATTTCCGACCCAAGTCCCAGCAGCTCAGGTTCGACCCCACACTGCAGCCTGCAGGTGCCCGTCCTGCAGGTGCCAGGCACAACCTTTCTTTCCAGCTCCGTGTGCTGTGCAGTTCTACCTCTAGGTACCTACCTATCCTATCTCCCAGGCGGGGCTCCCCACGCGCTCAGAGCACTGAAGCTTCGTGGTCTGTGGGCGCCCGAGAGCCAGCACCGGCTGTTGACGTTGTGGCCAAATTGCCGTGTGGGCGAAATAAGACGTGCGCTCCATCTTTTCTGGTGCTGGTCGGCTCTTTTGGCCCGCAGCGGCGCAACCCAAACCCAAAAGCGACCTACCCTGCCCCAAAGCCCCAAAGCTACACACATTGCGCTTCGACCGTATTTGTTTCCTCGTTCCCCATTGCTTTCTTCCCATCCGTGCAGAAGAAAGCGCCGGCAGACGTTCGGGAACGTTTTGCGCGCGCCCACAAGTCGAGACGGCTTGCCTTGGCGCCGTCCTAGAAGCACCCAGGCCAGCCACCCCGTTCATTCCCTCATCGTTGGCGCCTGCCCTCCCTCCATCCCTCGTTCGCCTCCTCGACGCAACCATCACGCCGCCCCGCATTTGCGCAACTCGGATTCACGATCCAAACGATCCCGCGGCGCCAATTCCAGGCACATACACCACAGTTGCACAGCAACATAACAGGTCCCATCTCGACTCGATCGACAGCTATCAAGGCCCTCGGCGACCACACCTCGCCGAGGTAGGCACGGGGACGACATTACACAGAAACTAGAGGCCACAATGGCACGACAACGAGAAACCGCGTCGGCTTCGAGCCTGCCGCCCATACCCATCTCCATCACCATCTGCGGCGACGGCGGCTGTGGCAAGAGCTCCATCACGCTGCGGCTGGTGCGGTCGCAGTGGACGTCCGAGTACGACCCGACCATCGAGGACAGCTACAGCGTGACGCGCCGCATCGACGGCGTCGTCTACCACCTGGCCCTGACCGACACGGCCGGCCAGGAGGAGTACCGCGGCATGTGGGCCTCGTCCAACCTGAGCTCCGACGCCTTCCTCATGGTCTACGACATCACGTCGCGCGACTCGCTCGACGCCCTCGGCCACTTCAACGACCTGATCGACATGGAGGCCGAGAACCGCCTCGACAACGCCGCCCGCGCCGCCCGTGCCGGCGTCAGCCCCCACGACTCGGCCGCCGCCTTCTCGCCCGGCGCCGGCTCCGGCGCCAAGACGGTCCCACCCGTCAAGATCGTCGCCGGCAACAAGTGCGACCTCCAGGAGAGCAGGCAGGTCCCCGCCGCCCAGGGGCTCGAGTGGGCCCGCCGCAACGGCTGCGGCTTCATGGAGACGTCGGCCCGCCTCGAGGTCAACATCGAGGAGACGTTTGCCCTCATCGTGCGCCGCGTCGTCGAGGCCCGTCGCCTCGCCGAGATGGGCGTGCTCGACCAGGAGGCCGGCATGGACAAGCGCGGCATGACCAAGCCCCTCAGCCCGCTGCCCCGCGACGGCTCCGGCTCGGAAAAGCCCGGCGTCGGCCCCGACGGGCGTGGGCCCTGCAACAGGGGGCCCAACATCAGCTCCGGCAGGTTAGGAAGGGGCGGCAAGGGCTTCTGGAGGGCCCTGCGATGTTGGTAAAAGGCAGCGGGGTGCGGGGTGTCAGGAGGAGGGGGGAGGTTCATGCAGCAAAAGGAGGCGGATGGCAAGTCAGACGGCATGAGCTTCCCGACCCTTCCCTTCCCCCCATTCTGGCTTCGTCTTGAGCCCGAGTGCAGAAAACGATCATGATGATGATATGAGGCTGGGTAGGAACAGGAGATTGGCTGGCGGTGGAGGTTGCGATTGCGTTCAGGCCTGCGACAATTCCCGTCGTCCTCAAACTCAGGCTCGCACCTCCTGTTATTTTCCTTGTGGAGGACGGAGGAAGGGCTCGTTTCTCATGCGATTTTTTTTTTTTGGGTACGCATGAAGCGTTGTAGACAGCGCCCCCCTTTTTTCTTGTTTTGTTTTCTTGTTTTCCTTGTGTAAGTTAGCCACGTGCAAGCGCATGGCAGGTCACCCCGAGATATCCCCCAACTTCTTTTTTCTTTGTTGCCTTGTATGTATTATCCGTCTATCGCTGTCTTATTTTCCTTTGTTTTTTTCTGGCTGGCGTTTTGAATCTCCTGGGCTACGATCGTTTGGCCGGGTTACGTGTATATCCCCTAGGAGCAGGAGGAGCGGAGGATGGACATGCGCACGCGTTATATACTATTTGTACTATCTTGTCATTGCGGTCGCATCCACTTAACCATACTTGTCCCTTGCGCGTTTCTGGGATCCTCTCCGGTTAAGAGGTCCAGTGCTTGCGTGGCGGACGATCTGGGGTGTGCAGATCTTCCGTCTGTGATCGGCTCTACATGGGCTGACGGAAGTCAAATGGATGTTCTCGCTTCTGTGGTAGCCGTTGTTGCCCGTCCAGCCATGGGTCGCTGCATATCAGATGCGTTGGGTAGACCTCCCACCGTTGCCCTACTGCCAAAACTGTGCGGGAGCTCCGTCGTCCGAACTCTGCAGAGATTGCAGTGACGTCAGCGCCGTCGCCAAACAGCAAAGGCCTGCAGGCCTGCGTAGGTATATCAGGCTGGCCTAGGGCATTGTCCTTCAACCTCCTCAGTCCTACAGGGCGTGGTCTAGTGGTATCAGCAAAAGCCGAGCTCCCACTTGTAAAACCCAGAACCTGTAGGTCTCGAGTTCGAGTACAGGTGTTGTCGCAGGTATCCCACCGAGGGTGTAAATTTCCTGCCCAGGTATCCCACCGGAGGGAGTAAATTACCTGCACCTGGAAAGAGGACAGAGGATCGAAGTAAAACCCCTTAGGGCTTTCGTAACCAGGCACCCGATAGGTTGCCTGGTAAGCTTTTACCAACGGAGCTTTTGTTGTAATTTTTTTTTATCCTTCATAGCTTTGCACTCATCTAACTTGCAAGTATCGTTAGGTGCCCGTGTAGCTCCTTCGTACTTGCCCAAAAAGGAAATATTAAAAAACGATGTCGCCAAGCCGGCTAAAAGCCCCGCAAAATCGGCTCCGACTCTATTTGACGTCGAAAGGCGACCCACATCCAGCCGCCAGGATAAGCCCCTGGCCGATAACAACTGACCGCTTGCGGCAGAAAAAAAAGTTCCCAGGCAGTCGCCGACCCCCGCTGGTCGCAGCCTTTGCGCATCGCAACTTACGATCGCGACCTTTGGCAGACAAGCAACAAGGTCAATCACCCATTTTTTCCAGCACAATGACCAAATCATTAAGCGTACCCAAGGCGGAGGATGCCTCCGTCTTCCCCATTGCCTCAGAACAGGTCCGCCATCCCCTTACTTTCCCGCCAATAGCTGCCATAGCACAGCTCCGCTGACACGCTTGCCGACAGATCGTCAAGGCGTCCAAGGCCCTCCTGTCGCACATGCGCAAGGCCGCCAAGGAGGCCTCGGCGAGCGCGTCCAAGAAGAACCTGCTCGAGGACGATGAGGGGTCCGACATGGCGCAGGAGCCCATCTGGCTCAACCTGACCACCAAGCGCAACGTGCGCGACGACAACAGCCTCAAGCCCGGCCGCGTCGCCGTCCCGCACCCGCTGATCCCCGCCGACTCGGAAGCGACCATCTGCCTGGTCGTGGCCGACCCGCAGCGCGCCTACAAGGACATTGTGGCCTCGGACGAGTTCCCCGCCGCCCTGGCCAAGCGCATCACCCGCGTCGTCGACGTCACCCACCTGCAGGCCAAGTTCAGGACGTTCGAGGCCCAGCGCCAGCTCTTCGCCAGCCACGACGTCTTCCTCGCCGACGACCGCATCATCAACCGCCTGCCCAAGTGCCTCGGCAAGACCTTCTACCGCTCGACCGCCAAGCGGCCCATCCCCGTCTACCTGGCGCCCCGCAAGCCAAAGTCGGACAAGAGCCAGCAGCAGCAGCCCAAGAAGAAGGGCAGCGGCAAGAAGGAGAAGGGCGACGAGGCCAACGCCCGGCCCGCGGCCGAGATCGCGGCCGAGGTCCAGGCCGCGACGGGCGCGGCGCTCGTGCACCTCTCGCCCAGCACCAGCACGGCCGTCAAGGTCGGCTTCGGCGGCTGGACGGCCGACCAGCTGGCCGAGAACGCCGCAGCGGTGGCGCGCGCCCTGGTCGAGCGCCACATACCCCGCAAGTGGGCCAACGTCCGGTCCGTCTTCCTCAAGGGCACCACCACGGCCGCCCTCCCGCTCTGGCAGACGGACGAGCTCTGGCTCGACGGCGCAAAGGACGTCTTGCCCGAGGGCTCCGAGGAGCTCAAGGCGCTCGAGGATAAGAAGAACAAGGAGAAGCCCAACGTGGGCAGGAAGCGCAAGGCGCTCGAGGCCGCTGCCGAGGACGCTGCGGCCGACGGCGAGGAGGTCGAGGAAGTCGCTGCTGCCGAGGCCAAGAAACCGGCCAAGAAGAAGGCCAAGGTGCCCGTGGTGGAGAGCAACGACGACAAGCTGGACAAGCAGATCAAGGAGCGCAAGGACAAGCTCAAGAAGCAGAAGAAGGCGGCGAAGCTGGCAATGGAGGCGTAGGAACTCCTAGCCGGCCCCCGAGTCTGGCATTTCTAATCGAAATCCTGTGTGCATTTTCTTGGAGTACGGCGTTCAATGTGTGCGGGATAAAAAAGATTCACATAGCTTGTTCAACGTCATCGAAATTCTGATGCCTTTTTGTGTGCCTAAACGCACCCGTATGCTCTGGTGGTGTAAATGCATGCCTTGCTCAAGAGCAAAGATATGAAGATAAGGCATAGCGTCTGTCGCGAGATAGGAGATGTACATGAACCAAGTCCAAGCAGAAAAATCAAAGAAAGAAAAGATGGGTTGCCTGTTAGACAGTTCCTCCACGAAGAATAGACAGACCCGCGGTTGTGTTCGCCGCGCCCATCATCCTCTATCTTCGGAGGCTATATCATCTCAAATCATCGCAAGCTGAATGTCTTGGGTGGTCTCCTCAGGGCGTAGTCCGAGGCGTTTAGGCTACACGCCGGTATGCGGTGGTAGCTCACATGCTTGCCGCTTTCTCTTCCGCCCTCTCTGCGGCCTCGTCTGCGATGGCGGCATCTCGCTCTTGTTTCATCCACTCGAGGCTCCTGGGTTTGGAGAATCCTTCGGTTGGGTGAATTGAGAATGTCCTGCCACAGCTGTTACACTCCCAGGTCAGATATCCGAGATAATGTCCGTAATCCTTCCCAAGTCCGGTGGGATTTGGGGCTTTTCTGGTGCACTTGTGTTGGGTGGTATGACGACACACGGGGCATTCTCCCTTTGTTGGTAGGCCCGTGTACAAGGTGCCGCCGACCAGGTCGGCATAAGCAAGGAGGTGCACACCAAGCTCGCCGTTGCGTCTGACGAGGCGGAAGACTCGCGCCTTCATTCCTGGGTCGGATCTGGCCAAGCAAAGGAGGAGCCGGCACAAGGGCTCCTTGAGCGCCACATCGGTGGATGCTGTGTTCAGGTAGATCAGGTCTACCGTCTCTTCTAGCTTCCGGACATGATAAATTATGGGTCGCCTTGATTGGCTGCCGTCACCCAAAAGCCAAAGAGTGATGTGCGAGACTGCAGCGCTGAATCGCATCAGGCTGAAGGCTTTGAGGGCCGGGACCGCAAACCGATCCCCGATGATGTACACCCTCGCAGAGGCGAACAGGGTGCCCTCGACCTCTTGGGATCTGTTGTCATTGCGGAAGCTGTCGTGAATCAAGCCAGTATCGAATCCCTAGTTCGCTAGCTTGTCCTTCAATGAGTGCGGGAAAGGAACGCTGACGCGACCTGTTTTGATTCAAATCTCTGATTAGTATTCTATCCGTAGCAAGCCGCCATTATGTGTATGCTGTTGCAGAAGGTGCAGGTGACTTGCCGTCGACATGGCTCTTGCCATCATCGGTCTCCCCCTTGCCATTATCGGCCTTCCTCTTGCCCGCGTTTGCAGGAACCGCCGGCCCCATCGGACCGGCAAGGTTCTTCACATACTCCGCAAGATGCTCCGGTGGGACACGGCCGATGATGGGTGGCTTGATTGCCTTTGGCTCGAACGCCTTTGGCTCGGTTGCCTTTGGCTCGCGGTCAGGTGGTTCCTCAGGCGGCCCTGTCACCGCCGCGATTGCCTTTGGCTTGCGGTCAAGTGGTTTCCCACGCAGCCCTTTCACTGCCGGGAACAGCTTTGGCTTGCGGCCAAGTGATTTCCCACGCAGCCCTCTCACCGTCGCGGATATGGAAGCGCTTGCGTCGGCCTTGCGTGATACACTGCGATGCGGGACTGGAGTGAAGTAGTCGGTGTACGTGCCCGTATACACGAAGTCCACGAGCTTCTTGAAGTCTTCTGGGTCCACATCGGGTAGGTCGATTTGTCCCGAGGAAGCTTCCTGTTAAATGAGATAGAATTGGCCTGTTAGCATCTCTACTGAGAGTTCCAGGACAGCAGTGCCTCAGATCTGGCTTTCGTTACCAAGAAGGGCCCCGCGCATGCCTTGGAGAAGTACTCGGAGTGAGCGCCGACGATGACGCGGTGCAGACGGAAGGTCGTCCCGCCCGCGCAGGTGACGGTGAGGTCCGAGAATGTGGCGTCTGTGAGCAGCTGCGCGAGCGGGCTGTATGCTGGCTCCGCCATCTCCGGGGCTTCTATGAGAGAAGAGGCAAAGGATCAGATCCCTAGTCCGTGAGGTTTGTGTAGTCTGGGATCTGGCGGAGATATCTTGCCGGCGGCGGTGAATGCTAGTTGACGAAGATGAGGAGGAGTGGGAAGACTGCGTAGCGGAGAGACACGCGGAAAACTAGCACCGGGGAAAGAATTGAATATTGGTTGGCCTTGAGGCGATAAAAAAGAAAGGTACGTACTGGAAGGTACCAAACAGACGGGAAGAGGCGCCGTTTTCTGGTGGCAGCCTGACAAAAAATCTCAGGTCTGTGCTTCTAGGACAGGAACATGAAAGATCAAAGACTGGTGGTTTCAAACAACCTCATTAAACCAACACCGTCGACAATTCCAGCCACAATCTGTGCTAAGCCAACCCGCCTCAAGTCTATGTTATCGGAATCTTCAGCAAGCAATGGCGATGGACGACCCGAAAATGATATCCGCTCTCGAGCAGATGCTGGATAGTAGGAAGTATACGGACCTTGCCATACAATCCAAGAACTCTCGGGTTGAAGTGCATCGAGTCATCCTGTGCGCGCGCTCCCCGTGGTTCGACCGAGTTTGTAGCAGCAAACTACAAATGGTAAACTGCCCGACCGCTGGATATTCTGGTATATCATACTGCTTGGGTAAGGCTGACCATGGTTTTATTTGATAGGACGCAGTAACGAACACAATCCATCTTCCGGATGTCGACATGTCAGATCTCAAGATGGTCATCGACTTCGCCTACACCGGGAAATACTGCGTACTTAGTGAGCATCCCAGCAAAGATCGGAAGAAGACCAGAATGCTCCCCAACAGCACCTCAAGGGCGACTCCTTTGTTTTTTTAGCCACTCTACTTGCCATGGGATCACGGCAGTACCCAAGATCATTCGGCTATGTTCCTGTGGCTAACCCGTTTCCAGAATGGCTTGACATTACGCCGGGCCCCGTTCATGCCATGAATATACACTCCGACATATTCTTCTTGGCAAGAAAGCTCGAGATGCGAGAACTAGAGGTGGAGTGTTCGAAGAACTTCCGAAATGCCGCCAAAGAAGTGGACGCAGAGGACGCAGAGTACTCCTTCTACATGCTCCCAACCCTAGTGTACAGTGTCTACGGATCGGGAGACTTATATAAAGACGACAAGTTCCTCAAGGATGGCCTCTGCATGTTCTTGCACAATCACCGAGGCAACAAGGAACTTTGGGCAGAGCTGCAACCACTCCTCCAGGAATATGGTAATCTCGCTGTTGATCTCCTGACCTATGACTGGAATAGGGACTAAATGGAGGCCCTGCCAAGGCGTCGTGGCTGATGGATATTGTCGGTAAAGGCCAGTCAGGTCCGACAAAACGTGTTTGGGGCCATCTTCCACAGCGACTTGGACTTTGGGGGAGAGGCTATGGACGACGCAGCTGGGCGGTGCCCGATGAGCGGAGGTGGCTGAAAGGGATGGAGCAAGCTTTTCTAGCCAAGTATTTGCTTTGGTATTTTGTTCCCTGATGGGTGAACACCTCGATGACAGAGCGGAATCAGGGCCTTTCCATCGTGGCAAGAAGATATTTGAGTGTGTAGCTTCGGTTGTTCTAGAAACTGACCAGACTAGCATTGGCGGCAACGGAGTGAGGTCAATTTTAAGTTCCGCGGCGTTCTTGGTGCTGAATTCAGGGACGGATGGGCTGTGCAGTGTGTATCGATAAGTGCACGTCCCCCAGAAATGGGCACCATGATGGAGGCCTGGCGCGCAGCAAAACGCGACAAGGCGCGAAAGCCTGGAGAAAGAAGCAATGCGCAAGGTCCGATTCCGGCAATTCGTCGAAAAAAGTGTGACATAATAAAGCCTTTGTTTGGCTAGCTGGAACGCTGCTATTCCACGATCGCGCCCTTGGAAGCCCGAGCGCCTGCCGCATCCGCGTTTCTTCCCCGACATCCATTGTCGCCTCGGCCACCCATCGACCACCGTCACCCGAGGCTGGCCCCAGCGCGCCCGGCCCACGAGCCCCCCGGCTGCTGTCGGCGCGCCTCGACGACGGCGGCCCTGACTAGGGACGACGAGATGCCACCGCACGCCCCGAGGCTGTCCACGGCCCCGCCGACGGGGCCAGCACGGTCGACGCCGACCGCGACGCCGACGACAGCCGCCGCCGAGGAGCAGCCACCACCGATCCAGGGACCGCACCCGGGCCTGACCTCGGTCCCCAACCAATACTGCATCGAGCAGGAGCTGCGGCGGATGCAAAGAGCGACGGGCTGCGACCAGTCACGCGAGACGAGCTACAGGCTGCAGGGCATCTACCTGATCGATAATGTCCGCCTGGCGCTGCGCCTGTACGTCGGCCACCTCTGCTCCACACGTCGTCGGATGCCTTCCGTTTCCAGATGGTTAACATTCCTGCTAGGCCTGTCAAGACGTTCGATACCGCCTGCATCTACTACCACATGTTCCGGCTATGTTTCAGGGACGCCGAGTACAACTTCCAGGACGCCGCCCTGACGGCCCTCTTCGTCGCATGCAAGGTGGAGGATACGATCAAGAAGTCCAAAGAAATACTATGCGCGGCATACAATTTGAAGACGCCGGACCATCCGACGACACAGGACGACAAGGTATGGCCAAGTCTCGTTTGTTCCTCGTATCGACGACCTTCCGCTGTCCATGCTAACCTGCGGTATCGTCTCCTTCCAGATGTTTGACCAACCGACTAAGATCGTTATCGGTCTCGAAAGACACATCCTGCAGACTATCGGCTTCGACTTCAGAGTACGCTACCCACAAAAATACCTAATAAAGACGATCCGAAAGCTCTTCCCGCCAAAAGAGGGCAGGGAGGTGCTGGAGACGGCATATCCGATGTGCACCGATATATTCAAGACGTTTGCGCCCGTCAAGCAAACAACCTTCACAATGGTCATGGCCATTGTCGAGCTGACGACGCTGCTGATAAGCAAGCACCAGGAGGTGGCCCGGGCGATAGACCTGGTCGCCTACCACACGGACCGCGGCTCCGTCGTGGAGACGATGCTGGACCTGCTGGACCTGTACGCACACTTTGCGCGGCACACCAAGGTCGGCGCGCGCTTCGATATCGACCACTTCATCCAGGTCAAGATCAAGATCAACCAGGAGGTCGAGGCCAACCCGGCGCTGGAGCGCTTCATGCACACGTGCGAGCGCTGCGAGCAGGAGGAGCGGGACGCCGGCCTCGGCGGGGCCATGAGCAACCAGCCGCTGTCGGCCGTCACGCCCGGCTCGGCCACGTCGCCCGCGACGACCGGGTCGGGCGCCGGGGGAGGTGCCCCGAGGAAGAGCGGCGCGCGGGGCCAGGAGGGGACGCTGCGGTTCTCGTTCGACGCCGAGGCGGTCCGGAAGGAGAAGGAGGCCGTGGCGAAGCACTTTGCCGAGGAGTTTGAAGAGTACGAGGTCGAGCTGGAGGAGGAGGTACGGGAGTCGTCGCACCATGGGCAGAACAGCAACAGCAACAGCAACAACAACAGTAACAGCGGCAGCCACCGAAGCAACCGCAACGGTCACAGCCACGGCCACGGGCCTCCGGCGAGGGGGCACGGTTCGAGGAGGGAACGCGCCGACGACCATCGGGATTCCGGTTGGCCATATCCGCGTGGCCGGCGTGGTGGGGGTGGCGGCGGGCACGACAGGCACAAGGGCCGTAAAGGCGGCGGCGGAGGTGGAGGGGGAGGGAGAGGAGGGTACTACTGAAGGGGTGTATCATGTCGATTTTGTATCATCACCATCACTTGTGGCCTTTTATCAACGCACAGCCGGTTATTCGTTACTCTTTGTTGAATGGAACACTTTGGCATCCTCCTGCGGCTGCACGATCGGTTTTTTAAAGGATGGCTAAGAGGAGGGAGCTGTGCCAAGGTGGGAAGTGGTGATGAGGATGAATTCCAATGTGCCCGTGAAGAGGTGAATGGGCAGAACACGCCAAGTTTTCAGCGACATCTATCACACTGTACATCATAAACAATCTCAATTCCAGCTGCTATTTCTGGATATTCTACTAAACAGATGGCTTCGGCTCCAATGACCAACCCAAGGCCCGCGGAAGGATAATTATTGGGCATTGGCCTGGTCCAGGCGCCGCGGTTAGACGAGGTAGAAATTAACTTTGCCGCCGGTCGCAGCGGTCGAGAGCTGGTGCCTGCCTGTCCAATGCCGGGGTCTTGATTAGCGTCGATCAAGGACGGCATGACGCAATTCTTGCATCCAGCCATGTCTGCTGGTGGGGTGAGCTCCCGTTGGGATGCAAGGAGCTGTCAAAGGAGCACGAATATTTCCGAAAACCCTCAAATCGCCGACCAAAACGTCTTAAGAAGAAGGAATAAACGATACCCCTCTTTGAAAGCCAGACTCTGCATTTCCAGCCATGTCGTCTACGGCCAACGTTTTGGCACAAAAAGTCAAAGTCAGTCGAGCCCAACCCCCAAAGAACATACCGCACACCATCTTGGCTGACCAGGGCTACAATACGCCATGCAGCTGGCGACGGGGGCCACCATCCCCCAGGTTCAGCTTGGGCTGTACATGATGTCCCGCACCGAAGCCTCGCAGTCGGTCCGGTGGGCGCTCGAGGCGGGGTATCGGGGCTTCGACTGCGCCCAGATGTACCGCAACGAGCGCGAGGCCGGCAAGGCCATCGCCGACTACCTCGCGTCGCCGTCGTCCGGCGCCGGCGGGCCGACCCGCGAGGACGTCTTCTACACCACCAAGCTCGCCAGTAACAGCACCTCGTACGACGCCGTGCGCAGGTCCATCCGCAAGTCTGTCGACGTCTGCGGCCTGGGATACGTGGACCTGTTCCTCCTGCACAGCCCATACGGCGGCAGGGAGGCCCGCCTGACCAGCTGGAAGGCGGTCGAGGACGCCATCGACGAGGGTGAGGTCAAGATGGGTGGTGTCAGCAACTATGGCGTGCAACATGTGAGTGCATGGCTGGCCGTATCGCCGAGGCTCACGTTTTCTTGCTGATCACGTCGTGTTTTCCGCCTTTAGATCGAAGAGCTGATGAGCTCAAGCCCGCGCCACCAGCCTGTGGTGAACCAGATCGAGGTCCACCCTTTCAACACCCAGGTCGCCATCAGAGAAACATGTGCAAAGCACAACATCATCATCGAGGCATATGCGCCTCTTGCGCGCGCCATGAAGATGAACGATAAAACTCTGGTTTCGCTGTCCAAGAAGTACTCGTGCACTGTCGCTCAGCTGCTTGTGAGGTGAGATGCGAATTCATGTACATGAAAGACACCGATACGCGCTACTCACATCGATACCTATCCGCGAACAGATGGTCACTACAGAACGACTTTGTCACTCTTCCCAAGAGTTCGAGCCAGGACCGCATCATCCAGAATGCCGACGTTGGGGGATTTGAGATTTCCAAGGAGGATGTGGAAGTTATGAGCGGACTACATGAAGGACTGGTGACGGACTGGTAGGCGGGATAAACCCCCAGACGTTTTTTCTTTTCTTTTCAGATTTGGATCTGTACTGACATGAATACCCAGGGATCCGACGAATGCCCCTTGATTCGGCACGTGGGCAGGTAGGAGCCAAAGATATGAGCCCTCATGCCAAGAATCCGATATATGTCATAGCAGTCGCATACCTACCGGCTACATCAAGTCCAAATCTGCCGAGGGCCGACGTGGAATGCCAGCCGAAAGCCCCGGGATACCACATGGTAACATGCGGTGTCGTCATGTTCAGGAACGTGGTGGGATAGAACCCCATCCGCTACGTGTCGGCTATGCGTCAAGGTTACAACAGAAGGTTGACTGCCCGCTACCCCGCATCAATGGGTGTCATTGCGGGCTTGTTTTCTCCGCCTCTTCTGCCAGTTCGGTTGCAGCGACAGGCGGCAAAGCACACCAACCCTCACCGTCGCCGGGTTGATTACGGGCGAGATTCCCCCATCACACGTGTCGATTTGGGAAGGTCTTTGCTTTAACCTTGGACTTTTGGTTAATTGCTACCTGGAATCTCCAAAATATCCCCGCGGGCCCACCTGACTTTATGCGCCATCAGATGATCGATAAACGACGTCGATGCGTGTATCCACCGCTGATATTAACCCATAGAGCACGGCAGGGCTTGTAGACTCTATGGGGATATTACCAGAAGAGAAAGCCATTGCTTTGGCGGTCGGACACTGCCCACCGAACCGATGCAACACCCCGCCGTTGCTGGATTTCAGGCGCATGACGGCGGCAAAAGCAGACGGTGTTGGCGTGAGTCGCGGTTGGCAAGCCGTCGGAGACGATGGGGCTTGCCTCCTCTCGCCCAGCGCGAGGCGATGAGGTCTGTGTGGGCATCGACGGCTGAGCGGAAATTGCGGACGGTCAAGAGCCGCCCACGGCTGCGGTGGAATGATGTTGCTTTCATCCGAGGCGGTCTGCGCCAAGCCCGAACCGACCACGACGAGCAAACGGGCCCGATGCGCGACCGCTCAACAAGGCGTGGCACACGGAGACAAACGCGCAGACTCGCCATCGCCTTGCCCAGGAGTCCTTTTGCCGCTACTGCCGCGCCGCTGTGGCTCATTGTCGGGGTTCGAGGGGCCGAACTAGGGCATGGCCCAGACAGCAGACGGCGCGCTGACAAGACGCGACAGGTCTATTTTTCGCCCATTTTGGTTTCACACCTGTCGGGTGCCTGACAGGCAGCCCCAGGAACCCTTGCACCGCCGCCCCGTTCTGATGGGCCGATCTCCTTTGGGCAGGTGGCCCGGGGGATGAAGGCTCCTGTGAGTGGTGCGCATGCTGTCCGCCCCCCACCCGCTGGTTTCGGCTCCCCACAGCCAGGGTGCCTTGTGGGGTGTGCCTCGGTGCCCAGGGGCCCAGCACGACAGGGTTCCTGACATGATTCCCACGGCAGTCTCGCAGAGCCGCCAGGTACGGCGCCATGGCTGGCTCCTGTCTCTGGCGTCGAAACAAACTTATTTAAAGAACAGTCCGGCCAGGGGCAAACATGGGACTATGGATAAATAGTACGCGCCCCTAACGGTGTCTAAAAAAAAAAAGTCGACCGTACTTCTCATCGTCCGCGTCGACTTGTCCACCTAACCTAATAATACGAGCCGATACGCGAGCCGCGCGAACTGACCATGTATTCTTTCAAGGACGTCCTCCGGGGCGCCTCTATGGCCGCTGTCGCCCTGCTGACGACGCTTGGCCAGGCGCAGGACGCCGGAAGCCAGCTGTCGATCCGCTCGCCGCCCGTCAACTACACCAACGTGCTGATTCCCCAGCGCGCCGACCCCCACATCGTCAAGCACACGGACGGCAACTACTACTTCACCGCCACTGTACCCGAGTACAACAAGGTCATTGTGCGTCAGGCCACCACCATCCAGGGGCTGGCCACCGCCCGCGAGGTTGTCGTCTTCGACCGCGCAAAGTCCAAGGCCGGCGTCGGCTTCGTCTGGGCTCCCGAGCTGCATCTGATCGATGGCAAGTGGCACATCTACTTCGCCCTCGGCCGTCAGGCCCCCTTCGACATCCGCATGTTCGTCATCGCGGCCGACGGCCCCAACCCCACCACGGCCACGTGGTCCGAGAAGGGATTCATCACGACCGACTTCGACACCTTCTCGCTCGACGCCACCACCTTTGCCGTCGGCGGCACCCGCTACCTTTGCTGGGCTCAGGCCGACCCGAGGTTCGAGAACGGCGCCGGAACCAGCCTGTTCCTGGCCCCCATGATCGACGCCGTCACCATCCAGAAGCCCGCCATCGTCATCTCGCGCCCCGACCAGCCCTTTGAGCGCATCGGCTTCCTGGTCAACGAGGGCGCCTACGTCATGGAGCGCAACGGCAAGCTCTTCCTGACCTACTCGGCCAGCGCCACCGACTCCAACTACGCCATGGGCCTGCTCACGGCCGACGTCAAGGCAAACCTGATGGATCCTAAGAGCTGGGTCAAGAACAAGGGCCCCATCTTCAAGACCAACGACGCCACCAAGGGCTTCGGCCCAGGCCACAGCGCCTTCACCGTGTCCGAGGACGGCAAGTCGGACGTGCTCGTTTACCACGCGCGCAACTTCAAGGACATCAAGGGCGACCCGCTCAACGACCCTAACCGCGCCACCCGCGTCCAGAAGCTGTACTGGCGCCAGAACGGCACCCCCGACTTTGGCGTCCCCGTCGCCGAGGGCCCCCACCCCATGCGCCTGCGCAACGCCGCCGACCAGAACCTGTACATCCACCACGAGGGCGTCGGTAAGGCCGTCACCCTGGACGGCACGGGCGCGGTCCAGGACACGCAGTTCCGGGTCCTGTCCCCCGGCCTCGATGGCTCCGACGGCACCGTCAGCTTCGAGTCGGCCAGCAACCCCGGCACCTTCCTCCGCGTCATGGGCACCGGCCTCCAGCTCGTGGCCCAGAGGGGCGCCGACGCAAACTTCTCCCAGGAGGCCTCGTTCCGCCAGGTCACCGGCCTCGCCGACCGCGCGGGCGTCTCGTTCGAGTCGGTCTCGGCGCCCGAGCGCTTCATCCACGGCGGCGTCAACGGCCCCGCCCAGGTCAGCTTCGTCTCGGGCACTGCCCAGGAGCGCCAGTCCACCTTCTTCTTTGAGTAAGGGGCGGACGCCGTTTGATGGGGCTGGGACAGGTTGTAGGAAAAGAAAGAAAAGAAAAGAAAAGGGCCAGGGAGAGATTGCAAAACAGGGCAAGCACGGCAGCAGCAGCGGGAAGCAACATGTCAGTCACGAGGTCAACGAATCGTGTGGGCGCGGACGCATCATCATCAAACAAAACAAAACAAAACACACATATCAACATCTCGACGGGGTTCGAAATGCAAAGCGTGCCAGGACGCACCAGGCACCGCCGGCAGGATCGCGCGCACAAAGAAAGACAAAGCAATCAACCTGTACTTCTACTCGCCCTGGACACACGACGAGCAAGTGCTGCAAGGCTTCTCTCGCAAGGCGCTGGGTTTGTACCTTTTTTGTTTCTAGTTTTTTTTGGTGTGTAAGATACCTTCTTCTCGAGTTCGCAGGGGTTCATTTGTATATAGTTAATCGTAATCTGGCCCCTGACGACTCTGTTTATTGATGACTTTTTTTTCCTGTTCATCTTGTCTATACTGTTCAAATTCAAACCGTCAAAAGTGCTCCTGATTTTCCTGGGTTTCCCGTCCTAATTCTTGAATCTGATCTTGACCTGTCTGCCTTATGTCGACATCTTTCAGGCGTGATAAAACTTTGTCAATTTTGCGCGAACCAGGGGTGCCAGGGGCCAGAAATAGAGCAAGATCCCAGAGAGGGACCCTGATCTTCCACCCTCCTGCCGTCGTGGAATCGGCTTTCTGTCGTTTTTTCTCTCCTCTCGTGGATGGAGGATTGGTTGGGTGGGGTCTGCCCGCGATGGCGCAATCTTCCGAGCCCAAGGGAATGAGGGAATCCCTACGAGGGCGGCCAGGTCTTTGTATCCCCCCTCTGGTCTTCTTGGTCACGGGCGATAGTTAGCCGTTACAACAGCTCCCAGAATCAGGACGGGTTGTCAACAGGGTAGAAGGCGTGGTTTAAAACCCTCACAGCCTGCCTCCGCGGGTGAGGGACTAGGAAACTTCAAGCTGGCTAGCCGCTTCGGTCGTAATAGCCACTCAGAAGCACAGCGTTGCTAACTACTAGCCTACATTTATCTAAAAAAAAATATGGCTATGTAAATTCATTTGTAGCCTCCTCACAGAAGGCGCCTGGATTATTCCATCCCGTCCCAGAACTCCTATATACATGTCCTCCTCTATATAGATATAATCGCACTACCACTCAAGTCTCCCAACGTCTCAATCCGTCAACGTTAGAAGAAACCACAGAATTCAAGTCCCTGTCGTATTAGACATACGTCGCAATATCTCGTTGATCCGTCCGGGCTTCCACGAGCCGGCTGAGGGGCTGCAAACTCCCCATCAGCCATCAGCCAGTATTCCAAACCGCCAATGCAAAGATCATCATAAGCTTTCGTCATGTCTGCTGTTGTCACTCCCAGCTGGGATCATAGCAACTGTCTCCCTTTGAAGTTTCGATTGGGACTCATACATTATTTGCCGGTCCCAAAGGCCAGCTCGGCGGGTCGCCGGCCTCGGCCCTGTCCACGGGCGCCGGCTCTCTCATTATGCACTCTTGGCTGCTGTATCTGCCCTGATGCAAGCTGGGAGATGTTAGGTGGCTCCCGGCGTTGCTTATGCCGCTGTACCGGACTGCTGAGGGCCCGCTTCCATCCCCGCCATCCCATCCGCCGCCGCCATCACCGCCCAGCGTGGCCGCGGGAACGGCCCCGCGAGGCTGCATCACCGAGACCTCGGCGGCCGGCGTGGGTCTCATCTCCTCCCCGGGCAAGCCGTCTAGGGTGACGTCGGTGTGTTGTTGCTTGCGCTCCTCCCGCCTCCGGAGCAGCTCGGGCAGCTTGGAGGCGCCCATGTTTTGGCTGTTGGTCTCGCGGCCGCCGTGGCGCCGCCACCGCGAAAAGATGGGCTTGAGGCCCGGCACTGAGGCGCATATGACGGCCACGGTCGTCTCGATCATGGTCCACAGGTTCACCGGCAGTGCGTCGCGGAACTTGTCGTCCGAGAGGTTGTAGAGGAGGATTGTGTGCAGGCGGATGCACGAGGCCGCCACTGCAAAGGCGCCAACGCCGAAGATGGCAAATAGCGCAGCTTTCTCGCGGTTCGGGCGGCGGATATTTTTGAGTGTGTGCATTGGTAGCAGAAGGATCCATATGTCGGTAAGGATGTGGAAGCCCGGGGCAGCTGTTGTCCTGCTATCAGATGATGACTGGCCAAGCGATGATGTCAGAGGTATACGCACCGTAAAAGAAGGCGCTGTTGTTTATGCACGTTCCTTGCACAGTACCGGTGACATCCCAAATCTTCTCCATCGGCTGGCACTGGAATAAAAGGATTATAAAGCATATAAGAAAGAAGATTGCGTGTGTAGCAATGGTCCCGATACACAGATACCGGAATTTGTTCGCAACCGCTATGTGTCGCCGCGATCCTCGAGTTAGCTTCGAGACGGAGGGGCAGATGCGAAGGAAAAGGTGCATGGAAAATGGAGTCGCAATACCGAATCTGAGGTAAGTGAAGCAGATGCTCATTTTGATGCAGGCCAGCGTGGCTGAGTAGATTATCTGGATCGCCAAAGCCGTCTGCACACAGTGAGGTAGTTAGAATCGTGGCCCCTGATCGCGCATGGCGTCTCGTTTCGGCATTACGCGGACCCATCGGCGGCGGTGACTTGCCTTGAGGAAGTTGACCATGTTGACAGGCGTGAGTTTCGACCTGGGAAACCCCATATGATCGTTTTTTACAACAAACATTCCTACCATATAACCAAATATCCCCACCTGCAAGAGCTATTGTTAGAGGTTCTCTTGCTCTCTGGGAGCGGGGGATCGGACTATGCATACCATAGCTGCGATGAGAAAATAGTCGTCCGGTCCAGGCATTCTGATTAGGATGAATCGGCCTATGCATCGGAGGAAGACCGCGATGGCTAGCAGAACGGATGAAGTCTCTATGTTAATATTGCAGGTGTGATCTCTGGGGTGCGCATTTACACATAGCCGCTTGGGGAGAAAGTCGTGTGGCGCTCACCGGCGAGGGCGGCCAAGCCACAGGAAACAATAAAGAAAGCATCCTGTCGTCCTTGATAGTCATACCCACTGGAGACGTCCATGGTAAGCAACCGACAAAAAGATGGAGATAGAAGAAAAAGGTTGCAATGGAATATGGAAACGTGCAGCGACCGCTTGTCGGCCAAGGGATGGGACGAGAGCAGCTGTATATCTCCAGGTGCCCTCCGAATGCTGAACACGGTGATCCAGAAGCTTTGATACATTATGAGTGTCATGTAGGGGCTAACAAAAACACCAGCCCCTTGTGGAGAATGCGCGAGTTCCCACTACTAAAACATAATCCCTGTATTACATGTCGTGAGAGTGGTGCTTTGGGGGCAACCGAAGTCGGGAGGAGACCACAAGCGGTCTTCGCTATGATTTGTCAATAAAAACACGCTTTGTTTTGGAGAAAATTGCCGAGCAGAAGGAAAAGGGCAGGTGCGCCAAGCCAATAGAAGGCCAAAAACGAGTATCGCTCCCTTGGAGGGCGAGTTGACGGGTGGGCTCTGAAGAAGCCATGATTCAGACCTGGCAGTACCGCTCAGCGAGATTCAAGAAGGTGCCCTGGGCTGGTGAGCCCGCGACGGATCCAGGTGAGCATAGACCTCGCGAAAAAGGCCCGCCAGCTACCCTACGGCGCTTCCGCCCCTAAATCGCGGCGGGCCAAGCCGAGAGATGTTACCAGAATGGAGACCTGCCAAGTTCCGCGCTAGCAGTCTTTCAGGTTTATACCGGCGAAGTAGCCACATGCGGCTCTTTCGGAACCCCTGTCCTGCAGGAAGAGGTCCGAGTACCACAGCCACGGTGGGGTGTCAGTGGGTGTTCAGGGCAGGCCAGTGGGGAGGGAACCGGAGTGGAAATCAGGTTTGTGATCGACTTCCCCAGGCGCCCAGGAAAACGAATTAGAAACCCAATCGGTAACGGGGAGTGATGCCATCGGCAATGCAGATGGACGAGGAGGGTTTCCATATCGTAAGAAATGGGGTTAACTGCAGGAGGGTCACGCCACCATTCAGAGATGCTGTACCCGCGCCCTAAGGCCAACACCCGGCAGCCATGAGCAACGTTCCGTGCCGTACATTCCAATGCCATGCCGACCTTGACCTTGACGACCTTGACATTGACGACCTTGACATTGACGACCTATACACCTTGCTAGGCGGCGAGGGTATTGTCAATGGCCAGGCCTGATGAGCACTAACTCGTCGACGTAGTGGTGCAGGGCGCGGTAAGTTCTACCGAGTAGGTAATTCTGCCATCAGGCAAAAAAAAAAAAAGCAAGTCTAGCTCTCGGTGAACGGCAGACTGGTCCCGCAAGGTGAGCTGGATGAGGTTGTGGCGGGTCAGTTTTGGTATCCGCAGTGGAGAATGAATGGCGTGAAGTGCGGTGCGTGCTTTCCCAAGGAGCCAATCGCGATCTTTATACGAGATGGAGTCGGCAAGCCCGTGCAAGCCTTTGAACGGCTTGATTATGGGATGAAGCTCAGAGAAGTCCCACGAGCACTGCCCGACGAGCGCGGAAAACGCCATCGGCTCCTTAGCCGGATTCAAGGCTGGGTCTGCATGACGAAATCGTGCGGGCGCCAATCTCCGATGGGGACCGTGTTGTTGGCTGGGTCCGGGCCCAACTGGAGGTGTTTGGTTGTGGGGTAGGATGGAGGCTGACGAACCATCACGTGTAAACAAGCTGCCTGCCTCTCATCCCCATCAAGATTTTCCACCCAACCAGCTCCACTCAGGCCGAGGCTCGATTGGGGTGCAGCATTTTGGTGGCTGATCACCGACAGAGAGGGCAATTCTGCTGCGGCTTTAGCATCCATTTGCAACAAGAAACAGAAAAGGCCACCAAGCCCCAACAACTGCTCTCGCCGGCTTGAAAATGTCACCGAAGCCAGGCCAGAAGACGGTGCTGGTCACCGGGTAAGTCACTGTCCGCGATGCCCCTCATCAGCTCACGTTGCGGACCCATTGGCCATCAAGGGAGCACTCCATCGCGCTAGCTGCCAATTACTGACTGGATTTGCGGCTAACATAGCTGCACTCCTGGCGGCATTGGTCACGCCGTCGCTCTCGAGTACCACAAGCAAGGTAGGTATGGGCTCTCATGGCCAAGGGCAGATATCGGAACAGAAACTGATTGCCCGATCAGGCCTCTATGTCATCGCCACTGCCCGCCGCCCCGAAGCTCTCAAGGAGCTCACCGATAAGGGCTTAGCCGCTGTGGCCCTCGAGGTGACCGATGCGGACAGCATCGCGGCTTGCAAGGACGAGGTCGCCAAGCTCACCGGCGGCAAGCTTGACATCCTTGTCAACAATGCGTGAGTGACCCAAGCCACCGGGCCACCCGTTTTCCTCGTCTTCCCCACCCGTTTCATCCCTAGCCGTGCTTGCCTGCCGTCTTATCGTCTCCCTCGCTGACCCATCTTGACCCATACCGCTGGGAGCACATAGCGGGCGGTCACACACGATCCCCGCCACCGACATTGACCTGCCCGACGTGCGGCAGACGTTCGAAACCAATGTATTTTCCGTCATGGCCATGGTGCAGGCCTTTGCGCCACTCCTGATCGCGGCCCGGGGGCTTATCGTCAACATCGCCTCGCTCTCGTCCGTGACACCCTACGTCTTCGGCGCCGTCTACTGCGCCACCAAGGGTGCCGTTGTCGCCTACTCGCGGACGCTGCGGCAGGAGTTGCGTCCCTTTGGCGTCCGCGTCATGATCGTCATGGCTGGCACCGTCCGGTCCAACGCGGCCGCCCAGAAAATGCGTAGCCTGCCCGCCGACAGCATCTACCAGCGCATCAGGGACGTCTTCGAGTGGCGCCTCAACTACTCCCAGAACAACAACACCGAGGACACCCCAACCTTTGCGCGCAAGCTCGTCCGCAGCTCGCTCCGGCCCGAGTTCCCCATGATTCTGCGCAGCTGGCTCGGCAGGCCCGACTGGTTTTGGGCCGGCGGTCAGGCAGGCACCTTCTGGATCGGCAGCTACTTCGGGGAGTGGCTCATCGACATGGTCTGCTGGCGGAAGTTCAAGCTGGGTAGGCTCGAAGCTATTCTGAAGAAGGAGACTTCGGAAGCCAAGAAACTCAAGTGAGGCATTACATCCGGGCTAGTTGTTGCGTGAGGAAACGCTGCCGACATCCTTGGTAGGTTTCAATGTTCATAGGTGGTGCTGATATCATGCCATGTCGGAATGCCATAGGGAGAACAAGATAGACCTTGGAATCAAATGAATACCTCCGCAAGTCAGGTACCATGGTGAACGGCTTAAGTATATGTATTGGTACCATCGGAGCTAGCTATCATTGGCCGCAGCACCCAAGGACAGGCACCAACGCCACGCTGCGGTATGAGCGTTGAAGCCTTGATGTCCTGTTAGCAAAACAAGCAGAGGACGGAGGTGATTTCGGTGCAGCGATGGAAGAGATGTGAGCTTCAGTGGAGTTTCGGTTTCATAGGAGGGTGAGCTCCTCAATCCCGTCTTGAAACATTTTGGAATGGGATTTTATCATCATATGCTCAGGGCGGTCGCGCAATGCATGAAATGCGCTTGGGGTTGCTTACCACGATGTCGAAAGAGTTCTGTTTGTGGTCGAGAAGACTACAGAACAACCATTCCAGACACTAGGCCAGCTGCGAGCCCGCGGGTTGGTGGACAAAGATAACCCAAAAACGCCTCGATTGGGATCTGGGATGAAGCACAACGAAGAGTCGACGGGGAAGGGAAGGAAACAAAAACAAAAAAATTGAGCTGAGCTCTGGGAAGACGAATCGCAGGCCGGGAGGATTACGTAACGCCGGCCAACGGTTCAAATTGACCCCCCAACGCCAGTCCCCACCTGGGCCCAGGCAGCTGCAGTCTGTCTCCATCCTCATCCTCCACATCGTGGAACCTCCTACCCCAGACCAAGATCCAACTTGAACAGCATTGATTGCAGTCCAAGTCTCATCCCGTCAAAATGACCTTCTCCCGGCAAGCCAAGCTCTTCCTCACCCTCGGGTCCCTGGCGGCCTCGACTCTTGCTCTGCCGTGGTCTCAGAAGCTGCTGGGCAGCGATGAGGATGACGACACGCCTTTGCCTGTGGTCGTCTGGCACGGTACGTCTCCAATACACCCGCTTAACATGGCATATGCATACAATGTGGCCTTTGGTATGGCGGGGTCCAGGCTAACGCGTTATTCTTCGTCTGCCGACAGGCCTGGGCGACAACTACGCCGCCGACGGTCTCAAGGAGGTCGGGCACCTCATCGAAGCCGCAAACCCGGGCACGCTCGTCTACTTCATCCGCATGGACGACAGCTCGTCGCAGGACCGCAGCGCCACCTTCCTCGGCAACCTGACGGAGCAGGTGCAGAAGGCGTGCGACGACATCTCCGCGCACCCGATCCTGTCGACGGCGCCCGCCATCGACGCGCTCGGCTTCAGCCAGGGCGGCCAGTTCCTCCGCGCCTACGTCGAGCGCTGCAACGCGCCGCCCGTGCGCAGCCTGGTGACGTTCGGCTCGCAGCACAACGGCATCGTCGACTTCAAGGCCTGCAGCGCCACTGACTTCTTCTGCAAGGGCGCCATGTCGCTGTTGCGCGGCAACACCTTCTCGCAGTTCGTCCAGAGCCGCCTGGTCCCCGCCCAGTACTTCCGCGACCCGGCCGCCAACTTCGACCGCTACCTCGAGGCGAGCAACTTCCTAGCCGACATCAACAACGAGCGCGTACTCAAGAACCAGACGTACCGGGACAACATCATCAAGCTCGTCAACTTTGCCATGTTCATCTTTGAGGAGGACACCACCGTCATCCCCAAGGAGACGGCCTGGTTCGAGGAGGTTAACGGCACCGAGGTTGTCCCGCTGCGCGCCAGGGACCTCTACCGTGAGGACTGGATCGGCTTACGCGAGCTCGACCGCAAGGGCGGGCTCAAGTTCAGGACCGCGCCTGGTGAGCACATGCGCCTCGAGGGAGAGCTGCTCGTCGAGACCTTCCGCGAGTTCTTTGGCCCCTTGGGCAAGAAGTTTGAGTCCGACCAGGACAGCGAGCGCGAGGTTGAACTCTAGATTGCTCCACACATATCTTTTTGTGTTTGTATGATTTTGGTCCCCGTATGCGTGTCGCCGACCAGGTTCGGGCTCCCCTTTTCGCTAGTGGGATTTTCAGGTCGCCGATGTGCTGTGCTGTGCCTTAGTCTGGCAGGCTTGGGCCTTCGGATCCGATCTCGCACTTGCTGACCGGTTGGGGGCGCAGTGATGGCTCGGCGACTTTCTGCAGGCCTGATGTGGCTCGGAGACTTTTATGGTATCGCCGGCGACTTTTCCCGCTGCGATCTTCGTCGGGCACTTTTTCTCTTTGGCGGAGGCCTTGTATTATAAGAAACACTCGTTGGCTTTTCTTTTCGTTTCTGCTTTTAGACAGGAAATTGGACAACATAACTGTCAGGATACACACAGCGAATTGATATACCGAAATTCCACCATTCACATCGATGACCATGGGTGACGCCAAGTTCGCAGCTGCATATGCCAATCACCAGGCTAAGAGGAATCATGCCGAGAAATGGCAGGTCATTATCGACGCGACCAACATGACCACCCAGCCCCTTGCGTCCCAGCTTCTTGGACAGATGGGGCTCGACAGCACCCGGGACAAGCCCTTCAAGCTCCTGGACCACGCATGCGGAGCAGGTGTGGTGGGACATCTCCTGCGCACCTCCATCGCACCAGAGGTCCTCGAGAAGAGCAGCGTCCTGTCCGCAGACATGGCCCCCGGAATGGTCGAGCTCGTGAAGGACAGACAGATCAGGGAGGGCTGGATCAATTCCGAAGCCCGAGTCCTCGACGCACAGGTATGCGGATCTGATTGACACGCCCTGGCGTCTTGGATATTGACGAAAGGGCTGGCACCCTCGCCTTTGGTAGAAAGCGGACTTGCCAGATGCGAGTTTCAGCCACATCACAGTCGGCATGGCGCTGCACATCACCCCGGAGCCCCAGCTTGTTCTAAAAGGCAAGTACATAAGACGAAGAACCTACACCAGGGCTCCCCTCACGTTCAAACCAGGCTGCTGACACCCCCGGGGGCGCAGACTGCGTCCGCCTGCTCCAGCCCGGCGGGGTCGTGGGTCTCTCGACGCCGATGGGCGCCATGGGCGGGCACATGCGCGACCTGCGCGACGCCTTCGCGAGCTTCCCCTTCGACGCGCCCTTCCCGGACCCGTTCCCGACGCAGCTGCACGGCGTGGGCCGCTGGGACGACGCCAACTGGGTCGCGCGCAACCTGACGGACGAGCACGGGCTCGTCGGCGTCCGCGCCGAGCTGCACGCGCACCTGGCGCGCTACGAGAGCGGCGCCGAGTACGCCCGGCTCTTTAGCCCGTTTTTGCCCGTGCTCCTCGACGGCTGGTGGCCCGAGGACACGCGCAGGGCGCACCCGCTCGACGAGGTGCTGGGCCTGGTGGCAGCGTTCATGGACGACAAGTACGGGGGCCGGCCGTGGTACTCGGAGTTTTATGCCCTTGTGGCGACCGGGCAGAAGAAGTCTGAGTAGTACGTTGGAGGGAGTTTCTGTTTGGCTGTTGCTGTTTTGTTTCGTTTCCCAGAGCTGCCGCTGTTTCTTTCCATAGATGATGTCAGCCGAGTTATGGAGCTCCGCGAGCAAATGCAGAAATTCGGGTGACAAGGGTCGACCATCTTACCCCTGCGTCACTCGCTTCGGGCGAAATCATGACAGGGGTCCAGTGCACCGGCTCCACACGTGACTGCAAGCCACGAACGCGTTTTCAGATCCGCGACCGCATCCGGCTCGCTGTCTCGCTTCCCCATTCACTGACCCTTGTCCAGCCCTGAGCCACTCCTTTTTAGGGCGGTATTTACTCTCTTACCCATGCGCAAGAGCCCCCAGCATCCATTGGACTGGCGGATCATGTGCCTGCCCCCATAATCGCCTACCGGACTTTTCTATCCTCGGGTTACACGGGGCATAGGATGGCTCCGATGGCGTGGCTCTCGCTGGGCCTGCTGGCCCTGTCGCCCATCGCCGTCCAGGGTGCTGCCCAGACGAGCACGTCGTACCTTTACGGCTCGCCCATTGGTGTTGAGTGCCTCAACAGGAGCTCGTGAGTCTGCTTCCCCTCTTCTGTCGGCTCCTTCGCCGCACGAGCAAGCTTTAAGCAATGGGCATGCGCGATGACCGCTCTGCATCTGTCGTCCACGGACCACTACGACAGAATGAGCACAGACGGAGACATTGTAGCGAAGACTGACGACGACATACCCAATGCCCCGCCCCCGCCGCAGAGAAACCGGCGAGCACATCGAGCTGGCGAACCACGAGCTGCAATGGATCCCATTCCCGACTTGCAACGAGACGGACAAGCCGCTCGAGTTCCGCTACGGCGTCGAGACGGAGCTCAACTGCACCATCCCCATGATCACCGACCCCTTCTTCCACCTGCTCGAGTTCTACATACACGCCGACGCGCCCCTCGCCTGCCGGCTGCCGGCGCGGCCGCCGGCGCACGTCGAGACGATCGGCGAGGACCCGCCGCAGCAGGAGTACGTGCCGCTCGTCTTCGCGCTCGCCGGCACGCTGCAGCTCAGCCACCTGCACATCAGCACGCACCTCAACGTGCTGCTGCACAGCACGCCCAAGCACCACATCCACAAGCGCGACAGCGGCGTGCTCGACTCGGGCGCCGCCTACAGCACGTCGCCGCTCAGCCACATGGCAGGCTCGCACACGCGCAGGCTCGTCATCGGCGACCCGCTGCCGCTCAGCTTCAGCGTCCGCTGGTTCCCGACCCCGGCCCTGCCCAAGACGGAGGGCACGGTGGAGTGGCAGGGCATGGGCGGCCACGTCTACGCTAGCACCGTCTTCTACGGGCTCGTGTCGTTCCTGGCCGGCGTCACGTGCAGCTGCATGTACTTTTATGGCTATGTGCTGCCGCGCCGCCTGCGCGGCCGCACGCTTGGCGGGGCGACGCCGCTGGGGTTCGGTGTCGTGCCCGGCGGCGGCGGTGGCGGTATCAGCCTCGGCAACGGCTGGGGCATGGCGCCGACGAAGCGAGCGATCGACTGATGGCGTTTTTTTTTGTATGTTGCTAATGCGCGGTATCTCGTGATTTATCTCAAGTACGGGTCCTTTAGAATGTCGTTTGTACCACTACGCGATGATTTGAAGACTGGGTCGGATGCACGGAATGCTTCTCGTATGGCTTTATTTGATGGCCTTTGGTAGGTCATGGCTGGAGTTTTCAGGATCCGGTGTGCATGTGCTACGCACGATATTATGGAACTTTCTAGATCTAGCAGCGCCACGGATTTGCTCTTTAGATTCCCGAGGTTTCCGCATGGCATATCGAGCTTTGTGACCGACACTGCTCGCATAGGCATCAATCACTTGGTCTTCCTCTCGGTCCCAGCGGCCGAAGCGACCAGACGAGTCCGCAGACGGAAGAACATGTCGACGGCCATGATGGAAGCTGCGATTCCCCTTGTTAGTCATGGTTTGCCCGGAGGACCAACGCAAGAGGTAGGCAGGATGGAGGGAGGGCAGGCAGGCAACCACTCACGAATAAGCAGCCAGGGCCCGTACAGCTGGAACCAAATGACCTGCTTCTGCTGCAGCGAGTAGACGGCGTCGTCCCAGTATGCCACGTCGTGGACGCACACGAGCGTCGTGAAGGCGACCTCGAGCGCGTACACGAAGAAGAGCATCTCGTCGCCGTGGCTCGTGCCGCCTCCGCCTCCGAGCAGGTAGACGCCGTACACGGCCGTCGGCAGCTGAAGGGCCATCTCGACGAGGCTGAACAGGCGCGTCCAGGGCCGGCCGGGCAGCTCCCACTGCACGATGGGGTCGTTGTACGTGGCGACGTAGTGGTCGTGCAGCCGCTTGAGCGCGTGCAGCGGGCTGCCCTCGGCCTCGTAGAGGGACGGGGGGTAGAACTGCAGGGCGTCGACGACTGTTTGTTGCGTTGGTGGTGTTAGTTAGGGGGTGGTGTTTCATGTTCGCTGTGAGTGAATCGGGACTGGGCACATACGGAAGATGACCAGGAGCTGCAGGACGAACCACGCGAGCCACACCTTGTCCACCCAGGGCTTGGGTTTGTATGCCATTTTGTCAAGTTTGGCGGTTGGAGATTTATGATCCGGTTTAAAACTTCCTGTGGCTGAGAATCAAGCGTTGTTCCCGTCGTCGTTCACTGTTCACCGCGTGAAGCCTGTGATGCGAGCTGAGCCCAATTTGCAATGCGTGGTCTGTGCCCGACCAGGGGTGCGTCTACCCTAACCCATATATGCCGATTTTCCCTGAGCTCTTAAGTGGCGCGCCGCCCTTGGGACTACAACAGCCACGAAAGGTACAATAGCATAACGAACGAAGACGGAAATTGAAAAAGGCTACAATGCCCGGAATCTAGGAGAGATGTAACAGCTCGACATACAGGGGCTCCGGTCCGGGCGCGCAATCGGAACCAGACGCAAACACCGTGCCTGGCATTATTGATGTCTTTGTCCGCTGCCCCGCGGCTCCCGACTCCGCCTGGACATGCTCCCGGGCGGACACATCCCCATCCGTCGCATTGTCCGCGCTCTATTCGATTGTGGGAACCAATTCGTTGGATACACCGAGGCTGCTTCACTATGGATCTGGTTGACGTGTCCTCCCAGGTCGATGTCAACGTGGAGGGTACTGATAGCGCCGGCTTTCTCAATGAAGCGCTGGGAAGGTCGAGCTGGGACCCCCTTCGACGTCATACCCGATCACCGAGCTCCTTCCCCGCCCCGCTTCTCGCTCGATTCCCGCCGACGTGCTTCAGTGCCTCACAACCGGCAGCGCTAGCCAATGCAGAATGCAGCCATACTACACAAGTTTACAGGGCGGTCGAATCACAGCATCGGGTTGCTTCATCCATCTGCAGTAGCGCATCGCCCTCTGGTTGGTTTGATCATGTGTCAATTGCATCTACCTCGGATCCCATTCTGGAGGGACTATGAGAGAAATCGCCCAAAAAAAAAATCATCAAGGACGGCAGAGAAGTATGGGGCTCGAAACTTTAAGGCACCCAGGACTACCGGCATCCCGAGTCGTGCTCAGTCCCATGTCTCAAAGCCCGGCCCGCACCCGTGCTTGCTCTCGTGCGACTCCAAAAGAAAAAAGATCGAGCTTAGTGTTGCGGCAGGTTTTAAACTTAGTCTGGTTGGGGAGGGGTAAAATCATTAGTGTCTGGTCTTGTGAATGTCTTTGTGTGATGGACATGCTTCTCCAATGGGCACTTACTGAAGCAGAACTCGCCGCCGTTGTTGCCGATGCGCTCGGCCAGGTTGATGTCGCGCCAGTGGTAGTTGCCCTCGTTGTCCTGGAGGCAGGCGCGGAGGACGGGGACCTGGTCGTCACCCTCAAGGTTGAAGGTGATGGGCTCGTCGGGGTGGGCGGTGTAGGCAAAGTCTAAACGGCGCAGCGAGGGTCGAGGTCAGTTCCATGCCTAGGCAACATGCCGGGAAGAGTCGGGGATTGTCCCGCCAGGTTCACGTACTTTCGCCACCCCACTCGAAGCAGCCGTTGTTGTTGCCAATGCAGCTGTTCAGGTCAATCTCGCAGTGGATCTCCTCCCCGTCGGGGTTGCTGAGCATGGCCTTGAGGGTCGAGCGGTCCTCGACGCGGATGCTGGTGGCGGAGCCGTGGAAAGACATTTTGTCGGCGGTGTGGTTGTGGTTCTTTGTTGTTTTGTCAGCTGGCCTGTGAAGAGAACGAGTAGAAGGCGAGGATGGGCTATGGAGAGCGGGGTGCTTGACCACTCCGTAGGAAGTCAAACGTGCGAGTAGGCAAGGAAGATCTGGCGTGGATAGCTAGAGGATATTAGGGTATCAGGGTATGGAGAGCCGACGACGGGACTTACGGGTTGGATATGATGGTGAAGAGTTGGGTTTGGAAGTGGTGGGCAGGTTGAGTTTGGCAGGACAGGCGGGGAGGTTGACGGTGTGGGCAGACTCCCTCTTTATATATATCACGGGCAGCCTATTCACTCGCATGCACCACCTCACGCCTGATATACCTCACGCTAGGGGGCTCCACTCGCTGCTCCCGTAGGCCTCCGACCTGGGAGGGGTATGACACAAGGAGGAGGGTACGGATGACGGGCGCCTGCCTCTCTTGGTCGGGCGTTTGAGAGCAGTGCCGCCTCGCCTGAAGATGGGGCCAGCTCGGATGGGGGTTTGCTGTGCCATGATCCGCGCCAAGCCGCGCGTGCAGCACACAGTCACGGTAGCGTGTACGTACGCCGCCGTGCCAGCAGCCCCCGGGAGGAAGGTACCATGGACGCCGGCCTCCCTGCTTTGCTGCATTGAAATCCATGGAAGCGCAAACGTGACGGGCATGGAGCATGTTGATCTGGCCGCTTGCACATCTGGCCATTCCCGCCCCAACCCGTGTTAGCGCCAAACCAAAGCTTGGAGCTACGTGATTTGTTTGGTAGCCGGGAGCCGTGGCAGCTCAGCTACATCCAAGCAGAAACAAGAGAAAGGTTGACCCTTGGATCAATTCGGGGAGTTCTGGCCAGCTTGTGCTACTGCCAGACGGGCTGATGTAACGTATGGGGCCTTTGGTGCTTTGGTAATTAAGGAGTCCCGTTTCTACCGTTCCACAGCGAATCGTTCGTCTTGGGCCAGACGCCGTATTCCATACAAGGACGAGGGGTTGAGCTCTCCCCGCCAAAAGCCGAGTGGGACATGGTGGGGTAGCTGTTTTTCCGTTTTGGGAAAGTTAAGCCCCTGAATTGCGGCTTTTAATCAGGGACTTGGGCCGCCTTGTTGGACGGGCTTTCCTCCATCCCAGGCCACTTGACACGATTCACGCCACTTCCGTGCTTGGGGCAGCTCAACCTCGGGTAGCCTAGCGGCAGAGAAGGCGCAGTCGTTGGAAGGTGCATGGGAGGATGAGACCAAACCTGAATCTTATCGACTGGCCACCCGTCATGCAGGCCGCGTAATCCATCCCTCCCCTCCCTCGCCCTTCACGAGCTTCGACTGGCTGCCTCCAAACGGCAGCAACGCCCGCCTCTCCGTCCCGCCAGGGCAACCCCCAACCCCCATGCCATGCCCCTCCCTCTCCCCACCCATCCGGGCCAACACACGCCCCAGTTCCAGCCGCTTCCGCCACCAGTCTGGTCTCGGTGGAACGAGCCAGAGCGGGTCGACGCGGGCGGTCCACCTGCTACCGGGCGAGACGCTGCTCCCAGCTGCTGCTCCCATCCATCACTAATTCGCATTCCCGGCGGCAACATCCCCAAGATGGCCGATCACCCGTGACCCTTCCAAGGCTCTTGGCGCGCATCGCTTGCCTGCCTTGGCGACGACTCGTTTCCAAAGGATTCGATGGCTCTGTTGTTGCCGCCGTCGGGTTAGCAAATGTGTTCCGTCATCCGCCGGGCGGCACGGCTACCCCTATTCCTCGGTCGAGGGGGCCAAGGGACGGCAAAACACTGGCCACTCGTGGCCGTCCAGAGCTGCATATCACGATGTACAAGCTTCATTGTCCCCATCTCGATCCATGTGTACCACCCCGCTCGCCTTGCCCTGCAGCCTTTTGGCCCCGCCGCGACGGGGTTCGTGGTCTCCGAGGGGAGAGACGGGGGGCAATTATCGCCGTCGCCAAGGCCCTGGACAACACACACGTACATGCTCAACTCTCCGCTGCCCCGCGCCCCTGTTGTACCGACGCGAAACAAACATCATCACGCTCCAGCTCTATCCCGCCTCTTAGTGCGACCAGTTCCTCCTTGGTGTACTTCTCATAGAACCACATGTCGAAGCTCGTTTCCCGCTCCCATGGAGATGTTTCCATCTCCTCCTCTAGTACTATGATCCTCTCCTCAACTGACTCCCGCGCTGCCTCCCACATTCCCTGGCTGATCTGCAAATCGATAGTACGGAAGGTTTGGACCTCGATGTCCCGGCTATCCTGCGCCTCCTTCAGAGCTCAAAGTGATCGGAGGGTCTCGCGAGTCTTGTTCGCTTGTCTCTGCTTCAGCGCTCGGAGCACTTTGGTGAGCACAGTAATGTCGTATTTGATAGCCCTGTTGTGGCAGGCTATGAACAAGTCGACAAATGCGGCAACATTCGCCTGGTCTGGTTCACGCATATTCCCCCGATGAATGGGGTCCAGTAGAACTGCCCCGACAAAATCGTCACAGGGGCTGTTCTCACAATCATCCCGCCTCTGCTCAACGTCCAGGTCTATGGCGTCTCTGGTCTTGGCCCTGAAGAATTGTATGGCCTCGGTGGACCATTTGGTTGCGGCGTCGTGGAGTAGATTCCGTCAATTTTTGGTTGGACGCATGTTGCCGGTCCTAGCTCTAGCCTAGATGGATGCAGATGCGATAGCAATGTTTTCAGCGAATATTGCCCTCATGAGGGGGACCTCGTCCCAATCGTCTTTCGCATCGACATCAGCTCCAGTCTCTAGCAACACCAAACCACGATGGATAGACACCTACTACCTAGGTATGATTCAAGGTTAAATGGTGAGTATTTCTGACTGACTTGCTGGCTCCTGTGTGCCTGAGGATCGGTGCCCAGTATTGTAAAAGAAACTCGATGATGGCTATGTTGAAGGACTCTATTGCTATCTGATGGATGTTTCACGAGAGTTAGAGAGTCAATAACGCGCGGGATTTAGGCAGAAGTTTGAGGGGTCTGGTACCTCTATGATGGTTTGTTCGCCATGCCATGCGAATAAGTCAGATGGATAGTAAATCTCTCCCATGCGGCTCAACTGTTGAAAGTGTTCTGGCTTGCCATGCTGGGTAAAATGGAATACCCCAGAGCGCGGTGGGAGGACTCTCCCGTGGCTGAAATGAACTTTCGACCCCAAGCCCGTCAAACTGGAGGCAGAGGCGCTGATTGACAGGATACCCGTGTAGAGCCAAGTTAGGAGAAGGTATTGAACTTCTATCGGGGAGGAATACCCCTCCCGCACGCAGCTGGGAATGTTACACTTGGCGACGCGGGACGTGTGCGAAACCCGCAGGGCTCCCAGGCTTTTCTGGAGCCCAGAAAATCCCCAGACGCTCGTACGTATTCCGTCACGGTGGCACTTGCACCGGCAGTCGGAGGGGCAGATGCCCAAGGGGGTGACTTGAGGCTGGCCGACATCAGCTGTGGTGCCGTTTGCTGGGGAGGGCAAGGCGGCAGTGCTGCTGTCCGGGGTCATGGCCTCTGCTGATTGCTGCGGTCCCGGGTTTTGATCAGGGGCCAGGGAAAGTGGCAGATCGTCAGGCTTTGCCTCCAGATCACCCACGGCGACTGGAACCTCGGGGAGAGGTCGTATAAGGCCGGTGATGGCTAAGCTGATGGCATTATGCAGTCCTTCGTTGAACATCCTATCGGCGGCTCAAACCAGCATTGATAAGCCTTTATCTCGTAACCTGATAGAAGAGCTGGCAGAGGATCTCACCGATGGAGAAAGTGAGAATGTGCCAGCTGCAGTACAATCTGCAGATTTTCCCTTGTGCCCCTGGTCCGGCTGTAAAGCCGGGGCAACTGTGGGCGCATTCAGAGCCAGCGCAGAGCCTGGTGTTCGGGCACCATCTTGTCCTTTTGCTGCATGCGGGTAGAGACGCACATTTGTCGCCGAATTTCTCAAGACCAACGTCGTATCTTTCAGGTCCTCCTCTCCCGCCCGAAGCATGGCGACCACATCATCGGGAAGGCGCTTTGAGAGCAAGTGTGTGATGTCGTGGATTTGCTGACAGGTCGCCCTCAGCTCTCAACCTATAGAATTCAACACGGGCCGTTTAAGCTTAGCTTGAACATGACCGACGGTAGAGACCGCACTTGGGACCCCGTAGATCTACTTATCTCCTTGAGGAGCTTTGACAGTTCGTCCTTTATTCCTGCGACGGATCGTATCGCAGCGACTACCTTTGGGGTGGCGGCGAGTGCCTGGGCGATCCCGGCGATGCCCGCGACGCCACCAACGACTTCCATCTTGCGTTAGATACGTGGGTCGCCGCGTGTGCTGTTGCTTCCGGAGAGAGGAATGCCGGATGAAGGCAGCCTGAAAGTGGCACCATTTTAAGAGAGCGACAGACCAAAGGCTTGTGTAGATTGCCTGGTAGGGCTGGCTGAGAGCCTGACCGATGGCATGCACATGGCCAGTCCCTGGCAGGCGACTGCGCCACCTTGGCCTACATAGGGGCATGGAGTAGGAAATAAAGGATGGGCAAAAAGGAATGGTCTCCCTGAACCCCTCTCAATGGATTCAGCGGGAGACAAGATACAGACCCTAGGGCGTATGCATATCGGCAGATTGCCGAGAGTTGCCACGCCGCATATGTTGTCTGACTTTGTTTCCTTCTATCTCTATCGCTAGAACGGCACGCCAATCCAAACTCCCATATGCCGAAAGTATCCGGCCATTTCTTATTCAAATGCGGTCGAGGGTGCAGGCTGTTCAAGGTGACAACGGTACTGGAACTGATCTAGACTGCACACCGAGCCTGCCGCCAAGGACCATATATTTTAGCGACAGGCAAGGCCAAAGGAGAGGCCTGTGGATGTAAAAGAGTGTAGTGCGGTCCCGGAAACTGTGAGGCGATTGAGGGTGAGGAGCAAGAAAGAAACGAGACAACGACACAGCGTCAAGGCTGCCTTTTATATCGAGCCGGACCAGCTCAACACTGCCATATTCCCGTTGATGATATCTGCTGTCGGTTGCATTGCCTCCATCTTCACCGTCTCTCCACGTCGCATAGCCTGTGGCAAAAAACAACCACAAGAAAAAAAGGCCCCCTGGCAAACACAGGCGACGGCTAAGTTCCTGCCTCGCCCCGCGGATACTGTGTAAACACGGGGTAGGATATCTTAAGTGGCCGGGGCCACCATCCGTTTCCCAGGCTGAGATGCCGCCATGGGCGCAACCCAAGCTTCGCGTGCCATGGATTCCTGGAAATGGCGTTCGGGCAGCTAGGGCCACAACCCTGGCTGCTACCCCGTCTGTCAGTGTCAGATGGCCCGATGAGATAGGCACCGTCCTGTCAAAATACGGCGCAATCAGAACACCTTCTCCACTTGCGTTCCTTACATGCATCTTCCCCCC